TATTTAAATAAAAACAAGCTGCTGATTATTTCACATTTTACTTGTGAGCAACGGCACATTTAAATCTTACAAATATAGTTATTTGGCTTATATCGTGATAGATATCATTATCGCCTGAAATGAAAAAATCTTATATCGCCCAGCTCTAGGCTCAGCAAACAGAAGAAAATAGTCTGCAGTGCATCAGCATGGAGTTTAATGCAGGCAGTAAAAAGAAAAGCCACTTTGAATCCAGATTTGTCCTTTTCAAACAGCAGTTGTGACCCGTTAGTCATTCATGACTACAGTTAACATACTGGGCTAGGAGAGCATCTCAAGGGGGGGAATCGCAACACTCGACGATGTCCATGGTTTTTATACTTCACGTAGGTATCACTGCAAACTATTTTCATTCACCGATTAAAAGCAGTTTTTTTGTTTAATTTTGAGCTTCTAAAAATGTGAGACTGTGCATAAAAATGTTTGTAATTCCTAAAGATTTTGGCCTTAACTTGCGTTGAAGCTGAAAATCTGCACTGTGATCCAGTATTGATTGTTTGATTTAAAATCAAAGATAAATTACAAAAACAAACAAACAAAAAAGCCTCTGTTCAAAAAACAAAAAAAACTTACTATCTGATCCTATCTGATTGTAATAACTGGGCTCCAGTTTCTAAAAGTCAAGACATTTCATTGATATGTAGTACTCTGCAATATCAGCTCGGTTTTGACTCCCTGAATGTTTATTGAAAAATATGAATTCTTCTGAATCAGATTGATGCTTTCTGACAAATTTGTACACAAAACGTGTCATGGTGCAAAAAACAACCGTGGCACAGAAATAGAATATATGGTATAAATTTTTACCGCATATAAATACACGGTGCAAACATATGGTGACAATATTTTCTTTTGGCCAAGGATGGTAAGAATTAATGCTGTCATTATTAGTCTGACTCCAATATTTATCACATCTAAGTGCATTTCCCATAATGATTTGCTGTTCTTAAACCCGAACCTGCCTACAGCACTTACTTTTTGTTAGTCTGTAAGCAAGTAAGGATGTGTTTTTGACCTTTCTGAAGTATATAAATGCATGGATATGTTTAGACTTGTATCTGCCCTTTTACAGCTTGTTCTAGAAATAAAAGCAATGTCTCTCTTTCAGTCTCCCTCTGTATAGCGAGCACACTCTGTTTAATGGTCTTCTACCATAATGCAGTGCCGAACAGAAGGTCTTCTGGTTAGAAAGGGGCTTTTTAGGAGTAGAGACCTCATCACCTCCCCCCGAAAACAAATGGAGGCATGGTTGGACACTCCTACTCACCACATGCATTTCTGCAGTCCTCTGTTTCTTGTGCACACCCTCATTATGATGCATTGTCCAGCCGCTCTTGTTCTCCCGTTTTAACTTTTCATCACCTTTTTCTGCATTCACATGGGTGCAGTGAAACAGATGAACACACCCGTTTCTCGCTCCTCTATTCATTCAGAGCTGTAATTGTGTACGTGTGTGTTTTGAGGACAGGCCCCTCAGGGATGGTTTGTCTATGTGTTAATGGGATTTATAAATATATAAAAGGTTTTTACCTTTATATAGTATTACTGATTAATACTCTTACATGGCCTGCTGTACCTTTTCATTTGATTTGAGTTTTTTTTTTCATTAAAAGGCCTGTTAACCCAAATATTGAGAACTTGAACAAAACTGGCTTGTTTGTGGCTTCTTCTTTTAATTAAGAATTTTTTTGAGGAAAGACATTCGTTTTTCTTTGTGCTTTGGTAGCAATCTGTTGTGTTCAATCATATGAATTGTCCTTAATTTAACCTTGATGGACGTTTTTATCTTGGACTATAATTTGTGACAATTTTTCAGTTTCCTTTTTACTTCTGTTGATTCACACATTGAAATTCGTAGCATTACTTTAATATATTTTTAGCATCTTAACAGGATACAAAATGGGAGAATGTTAGATAAAATGATCACACACTACTTCAGTAATGTTGATGTCCGGGCTCTCCAGAGGCCCATACATGACTGACAATGTTCTATCTTGTGTGTTTTTCTATCCAGGTTTGTTTTCACTGCGTTGGCAGTGTGTTTGGGATCTTTGCCATGCTGCAAAATTAAGCTTTTTTTTCCTTGTGGGTCAAAATCTGATGATACTTTTCTGTGTTGATAATTGGATCAATTTTAACAAGAAATGCAGCTCCAAACCACGACATGGCTTTCACCGTTTTTTTTTTACAGATGGATGTAGAGAGTTAATACCTGTCTCCTGACCTCCTCCGTAGACACTGATTATGGTTTTGATTCATCACTGCATTCCCTTCCTAGAGAATGGCTGCTTGACAGCTGCCCGATGCATCTCCTGTATCATATAAGTCCTGCATCAGGTCTTATACGATGCTGGATACATGTATATGACTTTAAGATATTGTTCATCGGCTGTAGATAATTCTTTAGCTCGTCCTTCCATTTTTCCAATTTTCTCAGTATTTTCTAATAGCTCTTTAGGAATCTTGTTGTTGGTGAAAAAATGCCGTCTTGGGCTGTGTTATCTTTGTTTTGTTTTTTTCATAAGTTCAACCAAAGAAATGGGAACAAAGGAAGTGTTTTACTGGCAGGCTAGTAACAAAGTGCCTCAAGATAGAATTTTAGAAGTGATTTGTTGCTAAGTTGTCTGTGTGTAAACGCATTGCTTTATCCCTCGAGTTACGTGCCTTTTTTAAGCTTGAATGATTCATATGTCTGCGTTAAATAGTTTAACAACAACAAATAATTTCTCTGATCGAAAATGAGTGAAAAAGTAGCCAATGTACCAAGAAAAGGTTTGAAAGTTCTTCAGAAAGCCTGTAAGACTATTACCAAGATCACTTTAAAAAAATTATAACAAAATCTGGCTCCCTGGAAGCAAATTACAAAGGAAAAGAGGGTGGTGCAAGGTTTTTGCACAGTACTTTAGTGTAACCGGGTTTGCACGTATCTGTACACGTAATTCTGCTACAATCAAAGTGTTGTTTTGCATGCAGAGGTACTGATTAACTGAGGTAGAGAAGGCTAATGATAAATTAAACAACGAAGTGCAGTGAAGAGAAAAAGGAAGGTGCCAGTAGCTTAATCAATTCCTCTGACACATTCTTTAGCTATGAGACATGAGTTTCAGTAATGAAGCACGGCTTGCATATCACCACTCTTGTTGTCTTGCACACCCACAGACACACAGGTTCATGTTATTTTTTTGGGGGGGGGATGAGCATGTATTTTTAAAGGGGATTCGCACACAAAACAACTGAAAAGCAACCTCACCCACGTGTTTTGTGCTTGCATTTATTTGTCTGCGTTTTGGGGTGTTTTGACGTCAGTGCTATTTTACAAAGTACCGGCATGCTTCCTTGGCTAATCTGAAGTGTCACTTGGTGCCGTTTGGCATCACCATGTTACAGCGTATGCCCAGCTCTTATGACACCAACGCAATAATCGTGTAAAGGGTTTGTGTTTTGTCAGTTGTTAACTGTCCATGAAGCAGAAGCTCAGGATGGAACAGTGCAAACTGAAGTCGCACACGTAATACATTTTGATAGGTTTTTTTATACGGCGACTGGGTGAGGGATGTGCCGTGTTTAGAGGGATCACCACGTAACATCCAACACAGTGTTTTATGGGCCCGCACTCAAATCCACAATGCACCACTCTGATCCCTGCCATCACATGCCAAGTCCGAAATTTCAAAGAGAAGGGGGGTTAAAATCAACACAAGCTACACATGAACTCATATGACACACAGCCCGCGCACACCTTTCCTCTCTTCAGTTATTGCTCAGCCGTTTCACTCTGTGTTTGTGCAGCTCTCTTATAATTCTGGATCACGCTTACTCTTGGCTCGGTGCAAAACTCAGCTTGGTACCCCCCCCCACCCCAGTACCGTTGTGTTGCTTTTCCACTTGCACCTTTCACTGGATGTGCTGTGCTTTTCCATTGGCTGTGTTAATGTTGAGCTTTGCTTCTTGTACTTGTCGTTCTGAACAGGACATCACACATGTACATGCAAGTCCATATTCATTTTTCACTCTCCTTTGGGACACGCATTGTAAAGTTTATGCAAATTTCCACAATTTCTTTTTGTACATGTACAATGACAATAAAGGGCTATTCTATTCTATTAACACCCATATTAATAATCTCCAAGCACCTCTGGAAACTGCTTCACTTGCACACACCTTAAAACTGAGAGAAGTTATCACACATCCTTTTTTTAATCCATGCTGTATCGAGCACATTAAAGACACAATGTTAACACAAACACTCACTCAGACATGGTCCTGATCACTGTCTCCCTTGCTGCTATCACTAACCATTTGCTGTTGCACTGGTGCTTGCTTTTTTCTTTATTATTATTTTGCTGTTTTTCTTTTAATTAATTTTTTTCCCTTGTGTTCATTGTAATCATGACCTCTCGCTGTTTTAATTTCAGATTTGCATATCCACTTCCACTCCTTCCTCATTTGCATACAGCAAGAATGGCGAGCGGGCATCCCACAGACAAATTCAGTTTCATGTATCAACCAGACACGCACAAGAGGTACGGGGCACGCATGCACACACACTTACATGCGCACACACACACGAAATTTCGTAGGCCTGTATTCACAATGAGCAGGTAAGTGGAAATGAAGAGCGTGCACTTGAAGTCTTCTACGGTGTGGAGAAGGATGCCTTATGGGTCATTATCTGGCACCTTCAGCCCGACCATTTTCCCCAATCTGAATTGATTACTGGCCCCGTGTCTGAAAAACCCAGAAGGTAGCGCCTTGTTGGTGCAGTGGTGGGAAAATAAGGCAGGTAGCAGCATTGAACCAAAGCGTTCTTTTTCAATTGATCCAAGCATTCTTGTGCCTTTGAGTCAGAACTTGTGCATTTTTCTTTTAAATCCAAGCAGTCTGTGTTTTTAAGTCCATACTTATATTGAGCCTGCTTTGAGGTTGGGGAGTCGCAGGGCTTGATTTTGTTGCATGCCAGCAAAATCCTTCAGCTGGATGCCGCTTTAAGAATCTGACTTTGGGATTATGCGTGTGGTGAGTGTGCTTGATAATGGTAACAATTTTCTTTCCAGTTTACATGGCTTATGTCTCTTTTCCCCTCCATTTTCCCCTCCTTGTCTTTTCTTAACTCTCTCTCTTCTGTTTTCCACTTTTTCTGTTTCTTTCTCTCTCCTAGTAAGAACAGGTTATCTTCAGCTATGAATCCAGTCTACAGCCCTGTCCAGCCTGGAACTCCATATGGAAACCCCAAGAATATGGCCTTCACAGGTAAGATGTCCACAGACGTACAGGTCTGCTGTCTTCAATACTGAATACCGAGGTTTAAGCCAGTTGAGATATGCCTAACAGAGTTCTGATAGGACAGAAATGCTAATATGACATTGTATTCAAGTTTGTGCAAAAAAACATTGTTTCTACTAACATCCCTACCAGTGACTCCAGCAATCAATTATTCAGTACAGTAAAAAATCTAATTATATGCTCTCTTGTATATACACTTACTGGCCACTTTATAATAGAACTTGTTTAGCTGCTTTTTTTTTTTTTTTTTTTTACAATGACTACATGTCATTGTTAGGATAACCTGTTGAAGTTCAAACAAAGCATCACAATGGATGATTTAAGTAACTTTGAACATGGTGTGGTTGTTTGTGCAGTCTGAGTATTTCAGAAGCTGCTGATCTACTGGGATTTTCCCACACAACCATCTCTCACGTTTACAGAGAATAGACATTTGGCATCAACAAGACATGAACAGTGCCTCCACAGCCACCAAATCTCAGTCTTGTAGAGCATCTTTTGGGATGCGGTGTAACGGGATTGCATCATGGACGAGCAGCTGACAAAATTGCAGCAACTTTGTGATGCTGTCATATCCATATGGGTCAAAACCTGAATGTTTCGTTGTTGAATCTGTGCTACAAATGCAAAGGGAGCAAAGTGCACCTAATAAAGTGCCCAAGGAAGTGAGTTTGCAAGAAGAGATAAAAGGAAAGAGACAAAAATATAGGCCATTGTTAATCTTGGGCCTCAAAGGTTATAATAGTTATAAAGTTATAGTACACTGAAATACTGAAGTGAAAGCTACTGATCTATATATATTTTTAAGATGGAACTTTTAACTCTTGTGCCCATTTTTATTTTTGTGATAAAACCAATACATGATTGAATGCATTCAGTTAAAGGGGAAAATCCAACTTGTGGTGTTAAAGTTGGATCGTGGCATGCATGTTTAACTGGAGTCTAGCAACATCTGTTGTGTTAATGTGTCATCTGATTCAGGACTCTTTAATTGGTGCTTATGATGAACTGGCAAGAAGCTGTTTCTTTAATATAACACTGAATTGTAGTGTAAATGCAGATTTTGCCACTTTTTTTTTTTCCTTCAAAAAAGGTGAGAAATTTTTTAAAAAAAGTTTATTTTAAATCTTCATGATTTCTGTTAGTTTTTGGTTTTGGTTTTTTCCTGACCAGAAACACATCCTCCAAATCTGAAATAAAAACAATGAAGATTGATGACTTACTATTTTCTGATTTTTCCGGAACCAATCTGTAAATTTTTGAGTGCTCATTATGCTATGCTTTAATTTTATGCATGCGTGTGTATGCTGTGTTGTTAAATTAAAAAGTATTCTTTGCATTAGCATGAACGAAATAAACACGGGATGTTGTGTGATCGTGATTAACATCTCGACCGTCTTATAACTGCGTTTATTGGAACTGTTACATCCGACCGTATCTCAACCTACAGCAGCCAAAGCTCAATATAGCGGAGGCTCACGGCTACAGAACAGATCTGCGAGACTGTCTGCCAATAATAGCAAAGAGTGAGGAGAGAACAGCACTTAGCTCGCTTACACTCCCTCTCTTCACTCTGTGCTGCTTTTTCCCCCCCTTTTACTTCCATCGTCTTTGTCTTGCCCTGTCGAACCTGCACCTTTTTATAAGGAGAAGCTTTTTTGCAGGTCAGATTGACTTTTTGTTCGCTCGACACGTAATTTATGACGCACGGGAGGATGCGTGGTGCATGCGTGCGTGCGTGCATCCCTCGCACGTGTCTGCAGGCATTGCTAATGTTTCTGAATTTGTCTCTCCTCCCACACCATATTGGCAGGTGTGTCCCGTCTGCCAAATTGGTGTATGTAAGACGCATTCAGCCAACTGTGTTATTGGTGCAGACATTTTTTTAATGAGCGCCATCTGTGCACATCCTGCTTCAAACCAAATACTCCCCTACCTGTGTGTCTGTGTGAATAAGTGAGCGGGTTGGGGAAAGGAGGGGGACTTCAGTTGTGTGTGTCTGCGTCCCCTCTGCTTGATGTTAAGGTTTCTAATATTTTCTGTCTCGCCTGTGGCGTCTTGCAGGCTATCCAGGGGGGTATCCTGCTACAGCTCCTACCTACACCAACCTGTACCAAACAGGCAGTCCTGGGTATCCACCAGGTAAGCTCTACCCTCCTCCCCATACACAGAGAGCTCATATTTAACAAGGTAATATCTTGGGAGAAATTGTCAGTTTAGAGTAATTTTCAGAGTTAATTAGAGGGCTCTTTCTCTTTTTCTAAGAAGAATAAAGGATAATTGCACTACAAGGAACCATTGAAGTTTGTGTGCACGATGCAAGACACACATTGATGAATTCAGACAAATCATTATCATGCAGCTACAAGTATTAAGCTACTAGACTGTTTTCTTCTGCCTGCCTTTTCTGGGTTGATTTATTTGCCTGGTTCTGCCAGAGGTTTCTTCATGTTAAAAGGGTTTTTTTTCCTTCCCCCTATGAGCGAGCAGTTAGTGAGAAGTTTGTTGGTTTTTACTCTGTATTATTCTAGGGTCTCACCTCATAATATAAAGCACCTCAAGGCGACTGTTATTGTGATTTGGTGCTATATAAATGAAAATGAATTGAATTGAATACAAGATTAGAATAGTTAAAACATGAGAAACTATTTATATTAACGCAAAGCAACGCAGAATGGAAAATAGACAAATGCTTTTACAAATAATTTCTGTCATGCTTCATTTGGCTCCCGAGTAAGTAACAGTAACATCGACCAGGCTCAAAATACAAGGCGGCCACATCACATCCACATGGTTGTGATTGTTTAAAAACACTAATGATTTTATCAACTTGGGAAAGTAAAGTAAAATACAAAATATGGAGAACATATATGTAGTTTTAGTAGTTTAGTTAAAAAAATGGTATTCTAAGTTGCCCGATGAACTACTGAAGGGCATGTTTACTGAGACTCTGAATGTCTACATGACTGTGTGTGCATTAAGTCAACACGACAGTCTCACACCAGTTTATTAAAAGCTTGTGACATTTCAATTTTTTTTGTTCCTGACCACAGTTTCCTCATATCTACATGTAAACAAAGTAGAAGATATTTTTTTTTGTTCTAAGAGAACTACATGACTACATTTTTGCCACTCATGCTATTTTTAATTCAGTTTTATTTATATAAAATCAGTTCATCACGACAGCAGCCAAGAGGCACTTTAACTTCCTTAATAAAACTGCTTTGTTAAGTTTAGCCAGTAAAAGCACTTCAATCATTGTTTGGGTCAAACTACAACCGCTGCCCCTTTTTTCTTTTTCTTTTTTTAAAGACTTGTTGGTTGTCAGGGTGATGCGTCCTCGCTGAAAGCCTCACGACAGCATACGAGCTGCAGGCTGCTCAAAGCATAATTCCAACTGAAATACAAGAATTTAAGAGGAATGCTGACTTTAATGGCAAAAAATGTGACAATTCATGTCCGTGTGAATAAAATAAAATTTAAAAAGTCTTTTCTCTCGTTTTACCACGAGACCAAGCTGGTTAGGAGTGGTTACGCCCACACGCAGAGTGAAGCAGCACAAAGGAGAGAAACTAACATGACTTAAAATGACAGCAAGATTACAGGAGAGAACCTCACACTGAGGTGGAGTTAAATGGGTACATAAATTCACATGCCTTCTTTTCCTAGCATACGTGCTTTTTCATCCCTGCGTTGGTGAATTTGAGTCCAGTGCTATTACTGTTCCTGGTTTGCTCGTTGTGAATTCTGCCGTGATGCAGAAATGATCATTAAAAACTCAGAACCGAGTGTTTGTGAAATGCCTTGAAAAGCCTGAACGAACTGCGCCTCCAATTTATCTTAATAATTTTCAGAAATGTTTTTATCTTCCTGATGAGTAATCTGTAACCGCGCAGTCTGGCAGCTGAGTAATGTGATGGTGTGAAATGAAAGTTAGTCAGTGTTAAGGTTAAGGTTGTCTAACACTTAATGTATTGAATAAATTACACACTGATGACATTTTAATTTAAAGAGGATCCATCACTGCTACTGCGGCTCTGCAGCGCTGCGTAGAGATGCAATGAGTTTGTCCGTTTATGATGCGTGTTTAACCTAAAGCAAATACAGTTTCCTACATATTTAATGGTTATCAGAGTCACGTGCGGTTACAATTAAGTTACGAACCAAACCATGCTCATAAAAATTGACGGAGCATTACCATCACTCATGCAGTTACAATATTGTTTAGAGCTGCACACAGACTCGAGTCGTTTAAAGGCAATATGAATTAAGTGGTGATCTCAGCCTAAAGGGGCATTAATGGCGAAGGAGTGGGAAGCTAGCCAGTAGCAGCTGCTAGTGCCCATATAGCAGCAAATGCGTGCTCTGTTGGGGTTCATTGTGTGGTCCCCTCAGCAGATGGGACTACAGTTGTGCTTTCCTGATATGCATGTATACGGTAGATGGTTTAGGTTTGGTGATTGCAGGCTTTCTTGTAGTCCAAGCGTAAGAAAAAAAACATTTATTACATTGTTTGAAAGCATTAAATTCATCGTTCTGCTCATTCGGGATATCAATTTTTCAATCTTGTGCAGATTTGTGGTAATAAAGGTAATTATACAGTAATGCAATTTGATCTGATTGGGGGTAGGCGAGGAAGGACGTCAACAAGGATTGCTCAACGTTGGGCAATTAAATAAAAAGATTTTAAAAAAAAAAATAACCAAAAGAGTAGGAATGGTGAAAGGAATGGGACTGATAATGAGCTCAGGGAAAAATAAATAAATGATTTGTAGTGTCAGCAAGATGTTTTTATTTAATGGAGTCTTTGAACGCATGCATTGTTACTGAATTCAGAGATAATGATGTGTTTTTATAACAGCAGTAAAGATGTGATATATAATCATGCAAGAATCTATTAATTGCTTTAAATTTTGATTAAAGTACCTTTCAGAAAAAAAATGCTACTGGACGTATGGATTAAATTTAATTTCCTCAGCAGGGAGCGAAGATAGCAACTGAAATTGTTTTCTATTGTCTTAAATATTGAGTGTGGTACTCGAGCAGAGAGGGTGGGGGTTGTACTTTTCATCTGTGCCGCTTTTGAAGCTTCCTCCCCTTGTTCCCTCCCTGAGTTTGTTTTCCGTCTTTTGGAAGTCTAACCAAATATCAGGTATGCTTTGGCAAAGCTCTGTCAGCTTTGTTCCAGCCGAAACCCGAGACTCATTATCAGGGTTGTTTTGGTTTGGGTTTTTTTTTTTGTGTGTGTGTGTGTGTGTGTGTGTGTGTGCTTGACTGCAGATATCTTACCCTTTACTCCACAGTGGTTAATTTATGGGGAAATTAAAATGTTTAGATTTTGTATCAGTGACAACAATGAATCGGCCAGACAAGCCAGCCTCCATCTGATTAGAAAACGTGTCTTGGTCATTATTTCTCAAGACCGCTGAGGAGACAAAGTGTTTTCTATCAGCACGGCTTTTGTGTGATTGTCACGCACCATTGTCCTTTAATGCCCTGCATGCATGTTAGTGCAAAGAATGAATGTGAGAGCATGTGTGCGTGCGTACACACACACACACACACACACACACACACACACACACACACACACACTTTTAGCCACAGAGCAGCTCCAGCATCTCTTTGTTCCCTTGTCCTTGTGTGAGAAAAGCGCTTTCATAAGCTCCACAGCAGCAGCAACTAGCTAGTAGCATGTTTGACCTTCAGGCTCCTCCAGGTGGCGGCTCAGAGGTACTACACCCCCAGAGATCAGAGCGGACATGAATGCAGCGGTCTGAGCCAGATTCCTTTACTGTCCCCAACGCCATGCTTTTCATCCAGTGACGTAGCGTCAGCTACAGGGGGGATACTATGTGAAATGATGTTGCAGCTCTGCTGTGGTTGTTGGTTTCAGCGTATACTGCAGAATATAATCTGTGGGGAAAAAAACCTGAAAATACCTCACATACAGTCAGTAGATGGCTTTTTCAATACACAGTGCAAAGCCCCCATCTTCAAAGCTCGTGCTTAAACTGGATAAATATACATAAACTGTCAGCTTTATTGTTTCGATATTCAAATCCCATCAAAAGATGGCAGTCGTCCCCATCTGGTGGATTTTATAGGAAATGCAAATAATGAGATGTGAGGACGAGTGCTAAAAGGGTGAGTCTGTACTCTCTTTGGTTGCTGCTGCTCCCCCTAAACATAGAAACACACACAACAATGAAATGTTTAAGGTATAGAGTTACTCATAAAAACCCAGTGTGAGAGCTCAACTGACTAAAGACAGTGTGGAGAATTCAATCTCATTATTCTAATGTGTTATTGATGTGTAAATATGAAACTCTCCTAGATTTAAGAAGACCTCTTCTTGGTGAGCTGGTAAATTTATGTTGTATTTCTCTTTTCTTTCGTTGTATAGGATATACTCCAGCAGGAACTCCATACAAAGTGCCCCCCACTCAGTCAAATGGAGCCCCTCCTCCTTATACTCCGACCCCTACCCCGTACCCGACAGCTATGTACCCCATCCGCAGTGCCTACCCTCAGCAGAACCTATACACACAGGTGAGGATGTCTGGAGTGGCGTGTGTTACTTTAACAGTGGAAAATGTTGATGGGGTTTGTTGCTGCAGCTGCTCGGCTGCCATAACCGTTTAACGCAGCCACTCCAGTAAATACATTTGTGCTGCCTGCTCAGTCTGCGTCGTTTTACTCTGTATTAAAAACAATTAGGCGAAGCGGTTTGTGACAGTAAATGGTCTGTCACATGGCTGTTGATTCTCCTCGTTTAAATTCAGAGCACTTATCATGTTCATAGGTAGCTTCTGTTCTGCAGAATTGGACTGTTGAGTGAAAAGCGCATTTCTCCAGCCTACAGGGACACTGTTTGGATACAGAACATGTCACTCTCTACCATCAGCGAGGGCTAAAGAACCCTCGCTTTATTTTCTAATGTCCTTAGACAACCGTGACCTGGATGAATGAAAACACAGACATTTGACGTTGGCTGATTTTTGTTATGGCACACTTTAGCCGGTAGTAACACGCTTGGTTATCCAAAAATGCGGGGAAATAAACATTCGCTATTATTAAATTAGAAAACCGATTGAATTGAACTTGGTTTTGAGATTCAGTCGCACACAATAAAACAACAATAAGGCAATCATGTTGTTGTTTTGTAATTTGGTGCTTTGAAAAGTGCAGTGGAAAGAAGAGACGGCTTCAATTTCTGTCCATTTCAAAGTATTGTGTTTCAGTCTGTTTTGCTTGTTCTTGTAATGCAAAATCACTTGAAGAAGTTTCTTCTGCTAAGATGTTTTGTAATCATTGAAGGTTTTCCGATGTTTTGTCCTGACAGGGAGCGTACTACACCCAGCCAGTGTTTGCCGCTCAGCCACATGTGATCCATCACACCACCGTGGTGCAGCCTAACAGCATCCCCTCCACAGCCCTCTACCCGGCCCCTGTTCCTGTACCTGCTCCTCGCAACAACGGCATGGCTGCCATGGGGATGGTAGCTGGGACAACCATGGCCATGAGCGCAGGTATGAAAGCAACTGTGAACTCTTTCCATGTGGGCCTAATATGGTACCAACATAATAACTGTTCTTCACTCTCGACCATAATTTGTGATGGCTCTACTGGAGGAGACACAAATCCCTTTGGAGCTATGTCAGGAGGGCATCTGATGTGTGTTTTTTGTAGTAATATTATTATTACGGCACTGATGAAAGCTTTTGAATTTGTTTGCTTAAAAAAAGCTGTGGCATTAATTAAAGGATCGTTTTCTTCATCTTTGCCCCGAGAAGGTAAAGAAAAATGAAAATGTGTGATTTTGTTGCCCACCTGTGATGGGTGAAAGTGCAATAGCCCTGACAGTATCTGTGAAGATGGTGCAGGCCAATGCGTGTTGGTGTATTTTAAATGTTTTTAGCAAAGACCCTTAGTTACCTTTTTAGTCCTACCTTAAGTCCCTGGACTTAAAAAAACATTTTATTCTTTATTTTATTGCCTTTTTGCTGCAAAAAAACCCAAAAAGAAGTGCATGATTGGTAGATGCAGCTCAGGTACAAATTGATTTTGCATCCTTGGTGGTGTTTTCTTTGTGTAGGGACTCTGCTGACAACGCCACAACACCCCCCAATTGGAGCACACCCAGTTACTGTGCCAACCTACAGGCCCCAAGGGACACCTGGGTACAGCTACGTACCGCCTCACTGGTAGAGCCCATCCATCATGTAAGTATCTCCCCTCCTGATGTTTCAGATCCTCCTCTTTAAGATGTTTCTGTGCTCCATCTGGTGGTTCCTCCTTTTCTTCCCCTCCTCTCCACCTTTTCCTTTCCTCATCTCATCCCCGTCTCTCTCGACTTTAACAAACTACGCTGCCTCGCCATTTTTTCCCCCTTCTTCCCTCAGAGGTCTGAGGCAGTCTTAACTCAATCACCTATGTGTTCCTCTGCTTTTCTTTCCCACCAGATCTGGAGTCCACCATCGTATGCAACTGCTCGAATCTTACCGCGAGCTCCCGTCAGTAATCACGGGAACTCTGCATCTGTCTGCAAGAACAAAACTAAAGTGCAACAGCCACTTTACTATCATTGTTATTATGCGACATTCTCTAACATTTTTACAAAAGCTGCTTTTTCTTTGTTTTCTTTTTCTTTTTTCCTTTTCATCTGCCAACCAATCATTATCTTATTTTGTATTGTTATTTTATTTCATTTCCTCATTTTCCTTTGCTGTGTCTGTCATTGGAACTCCAGAAGGACTCTTGACCAATCACGGGTGTCGAGCGCTCCTGTTACTGTGTTGTGCTGGTGTGTGTATGTGTGCGCGTGTGTGTGTGTGTGTGTTTCTGCCTGCTGCAACTCAGCTGGCTGGAGAATATTGGGCACTTATTCTTCTTCATCTCCATTGGTCACAAAGACTTATTGACTTATGCTGCCAAATTTTTTAATGACTAGATATCAGCACAGGGTTTCAACACAACTAGGGTTTTAGTTTTACAGATTGTTGATTTTTAATGTTCCTTCTTTTTGCTACACTCAGATGAGTTACCTTACTTTGCAGTCTCTCCCCCCAAATTCTTCCTCATCCTTTTTCAGTTTGATCTCGGTCGTCTTCCAGTGTAGCTGTGTCCAGCAGTAGTTTGTCATCCCGGTTGTTACGCCTCCATAGGAGTGCTATGAGCACTGACCAGCCATCACCTGTAATGCTACGCGTCACATTTTTTGTCTGCTTTAGCATTGTACCTAGTACAAACATCATGCTACATACTATGCAGGCTAGTATGTTGTAACACTATCAAAATTTTATCCTAGCTATAGAGGACGTTCCTGGGTGGTTTGGGTCATGTCAGCTTTCTTTCTGTGGTTAGAGTAGGTAAGTACATTTAAAACCTTAAAAAAATACAGCTATACTAACAGTGACAACAGCTTGGATGGTCGTGCACACTTTCTGACACACACACAGACGCGCACACACACACACACACACACAGGGGCTCCTGTTGTGTTTTGGGAAACACCGTCACTTAGTGGCGCTTATTGTACAGTACCTCCAGTTATGTTTTAGCTGGTGGACACACGCGCGCGCACACACACACACACACACACACACACGGATTTCTGGGGTGTGCATGGGAGACACAGCCAGCAGTGATGGAGTTTAAAGGGAGGAGAGCCGGAAGGAATGAGAACAGAGGACAAGATGACATATTCACAGCTGTCATCTTAAGGCACAAGAGAGTTAAGTTTGTTACATCTCACAAGGAGGTGCACAAACAGACGGCTCTTTTGTGCTGTATGAGATGCACATTGATTTTTCTCACTGTGAATATATCATCTCGTCCTCCTCCTTCCATTTTCCAGACGAGGACTAATAACCAAACGGCCTGCAGATGAGAGCCCAGACTATTGAATTTTTTTATTAAATAATGGGCGTGTCAGATAAATATCATTGGATAGATGAATAGAATTCAATCTAGTCCATCCGTCTAAATGTTATGCACATCACAGCCTTCTGATTGGACGCAGTCTGTTAATAATATGCTCAGCATAAGGTCCATGTTGCAGCACGGCTTTTTAGGATTTATGTCAGAATGATACCGTACCTTGTCATGTAGCTTAAAGTGCCCAGTTACGCTTGTATTCACAATAATTTTTTCCACTTCATTGATTTTAAAGTTAAACAAATTAAAAACAACAACAACATGTTTTTAGTCACACATTAGTTCCCACAGTGCTTCAGCAACTTTGTCATTCTCTCTCCGAAACACTCTGTTTTGGCTCCTGGCTCTTGAAATCTTCACTGTACCCAGACTGTATAAAAGATACTGTGACGTCTCATGTTTGTTTAAGCCCCATTTTGCAAAAGAATGGATGTTACAAGGAGTCGTGGGTCTGACTGGGAAACTGTATTTTATTGGTTTTTGATTGGCAAGTCATTAGCCCATGGGCAAGCAAATAATCATCATTTTTAAAAAATAAATAAATAAATAAAATCACCAAGATTTACAGAACAGACTTTTTTGTTCAGTGTGACTCAAAGTGAGTTGATGAGCCTGTGAACTTCTTTAGGACCACAAGTGTTTTTGCAGCCACAGCTATCGCCATCTGCTGGTCTTTAGATAGAATGCAGATTTAAAGGAGTTTGACAATCAAACTTGGTCACATTCATAACTGGATGCTCCTCTAAGAGCCATCAAATATTAACAGAAACTTTTAGCTTCAGCCAGATTTTCTCATCTCTGAACTTTAATGTCAGGAAATGGAAAATATGACAGTCTTGTTAGATGTTTTTGTGGAATTATTTCACCCATTTCTTCTTGTGTTTTTATGTTAGAAAGAAGAACTTTATTGGTAATTTGTCTACAGTCAAATACAATACAGATCGAGTAAATATTTATACCTGTGCGCCATGCTAAAATGAAACATGTAGGGTTCATTATTGTTGTGGAGGCAAATGTAATTCAGCAGAAACTGATCATTTTGTACAAGAACTCAACAAAAAGGTCATAATAGGCGAGTAGGTGGGGTGTTTTTTTCACTTCTTGGTTTCTAGGCCAAGATTATGGCTGTTACATAGTGACATAGATATGTAACACAAGAAGAGCCTGGGCTACAGCCAAAGCATTTCCATGGCAGTGTTTTCAGGGAGAGAATGACTCCATTCGGTGAGAACATTGGGCTATGTAAGCAAATCTAAACACAGATACGTAATAGCGGCACTTTAAGTCTTTGTGTATTGGTCCTCGTCAGTGTGGGGTAGTCGTGATCGTGGTGGGATTTACTTTTAGGTGAGGCCTGTGGCATTTTTTCAGGATTTACAAGAAGAAAAAAGCTCAAAGGAGAACTTCACATTCCTGTGAGGGTAGATTGGTCTTTTAAAAAAAGCATTTAGCGCACGGGTATGTGGATGAAGTGGTTTGATATTGCAATAAAATAAGAGGGGAATGCCTCCAACTTTAACGTACAGTAATTATTTTATCAGCATTTTGAATTGATTTTCTTTTTTGGGGGGGTTAAATAAACAAATGCATATTGTTGTAATCTCTAAATATGGATTCAAGGCTCCGTATGCAGCCGCCTTTCAATAATTATTACAGTTACTGCTAAGAAAAGTAGACATATCAAATTTTTTTGGAGTATTGAATAACATTGTGAGGAAATATTGCACAACATAAGACAAAAAAAAGAAAGTTGACTATACTACTATAATTTAATGCTAAGTAACAGGTACCTAGACTTTGTAGTGCAAGACGGAGGAAGAAGCAATTTATATCCTAATTAAAAATAAAACAATAAGGTCGAGTGTTTGAGGTATTCTTAGTCCAGATGTTTGTACACTAGTATGTTAATTCTCAAGAAAATATCGCATAATTCCGCTGTCGGAAGAAAAGCGCCTACGTTTGGGCCCCGTTTTTAAAGCGACTCTTGTATTTTAGCCGATATCAAGTGGGTGTTTTTAGCATGAGAGTGAGGAAATGACGCCGCTTAAGGATCTTGTACATTTTAATTTAAAGCTGGTGAAACTTCACAAGTTCACAAACTACATTTTCTTGCGACAGCAGTGATGTTACTCCATTAGGATTTATTTAACCAACCACTACTTTTTGTCAGTATTTCTCAGTTAAATCTTGTTTCCTTTCTTCTTCTTCTTTCCCTATGGTCAATTGAGCATAATGGGTATGCATAATATTCAGGTGTATTTCACTATAGCATTGGATTTCTAAGTTTAAAAAACATGCAGTATATTTATACAGCAAGTGGTACAGTAATGTATTTCTAGCTAAGCATGGTTGCATCAGTGTGGCAGCTACTGTTTGTGCTTTTAATATATATATATATATTATTTTTTGTTTTTGTTTTACCTCTTCTGCATCTGTCCGCTTCATATCCGTTTCTATAGGAGGGAGTGGAGTTCACACAAGGTCTTTACATAAAACTGTGGGATTTCTTATCACCAGATTCCCATTGAAATTACAGACGTTACGATATGTTACAAAAAAAGCTAAAAAAAGAGGATCGGTGACAGAACTGAAATGGATGCCTTTAGAATCAGTTTTCCTTTTTTTTTCTGTCCGTTTCTGTTTTGTGGGTTCAAAGAATTGTATTGAATGATGTCTTGAAAACCCTCAGCCTCTGTGCCCTTTGTTCTGTGCCATATTTCACCAGTTGTTGTTCGATAAATATTACTTTGTTCTCCTAAGTGGTGAATTCTGAGTCCTCGTTGCGTCTGGCTTCATGTGAATCTGTTTAGTTTTGGGGTTTTTTCCCGTATTGCTGTCCTGTTTCTCACGCTGTTGATGCATATTGTCTGCCTGACTCTTAACTTTTGCTCCTCTCCTCTCTGGGTTTACCCCCGTTTTCACTTTGTGCCCACTCTGCATTCCATTACACATCTGGTTTCATCACATTCAGGGATGCAAAATGATGTCGGATCATATATTGTTTCCTCCCGTCTTCACTCTTAGCACTTGTTTTTTGGTTTTTTTTTTAACTCTCATACCTTTCTGTGCCAACCTGCCTAAAGTTTGCATCCCTCACCTCCCCGTCTGAACTGCAGAAGCGATGGTTGTTACATCGACGCCTTTTTAAACACTAGATGTCGCTGGTGACAAAGTCTAATGTGGCATCTGTGTCTGATGGCTTTGAGCCTTTTTAATCATTTGCATGTAAAACTCACAATTAAATGTCACCTTTGAACACTTTCTCAAATTGCTGTAGGTTTATTGGGAGATAGTCTTAGATGTCTGGACAACCAGAACATCACTAAAAATACAGACCTGTATTTTTGACCTTTTTTTTGATTGTGGAACAAAGTTCAAAAACAAATTATTTTGTTTTAATGTGGAGACCCAGTGAAGAGGCTGGGAACAGTTTCAGTTTTGTTTAGTTTTTTCCCAGAGTGATAAAACTGCTTCCTCATTTCACTCCATTCCTTGTTTCATTTATTTCAATTTGCACTTAAGTGAAAATGGGCAATTGCACACTTTGCAGCGTGAGGGGGGGGTGTGTGCAAACTTGTCTTAACCGTGACTCTGCTTCACCGCGTCAACCTGTAGATTTCCAAACCTTTTTTGCTTTTATTTTCTTTCTTTTTTTTATCTTGACAGTGAAAATGTGACTAGAAGCATTTCATAACACCTATCCTCTCTTCCATTTCCCCTC